TCAACCAATAGAATCATTGACTGATAAAGAAAATAATTCATGATGATCTTCATCAAACACACACACACACACACACACATGAATCTGTTGAATTATCAATAATAAATGAATCAAACACATATGTGACACATTATATTCATTGTAGATGAATGAAGATGAAAAAGATAGCGACAAACGGAAAACTTTTCCAATTAATCGATTCCCGTTATTTTCTTTTGCTTCTTTATTTTTTTTTATACACAATGTGACATTTTTCTTTCACTTTGAATCTCAATCAATTATTGATCAAAAGTTAGGCTTCCATCTTTGTTTGCAATGTTTGGCATTTTTTTTTCTTTTATTTTTCTTGTTTTTTTTTCGACCTCAATAACTTTTTTTTTCTGGGCGCCATTACCATGGCCATCAATTTGAATTCGGTGTAACATGAAAAAATATAAGATCAACATGCCGAAAGAATTTTTTTTTCTTCTTTGAAATACACAGAATTTTTTTTTCAAACTTGAACTTTTTTTTGTTGAAAAAGTTGTCTCTAATGTTTTTTTTGTTGTGTGGGTGGGTGGATGAAACTTTAAAATTTTTCTTGTTGTTTTTTTTGTTGTAATTTTTTCTTTTCATTCATTTTTTCATCCGAAATAGAATTCAGTATTCACCAGCTAACGTTTTGTGTGTGTGTGTGTGTGTGTGTGGGAGGCTTTAGACAGAAACTAGATCAAATGAAAAGAAAAGAATAGAAAAATCCTTGTAAAGTTGTTGGTCCATTGAGAATTTTTTTTCCTCATTCTTTCTTTCTTTCTTTTCTTTGTTCATCAATAAATAAACCAAGAAATCTGGTAATTTTTGTATTCTTTTTTTTCTCACTATAAGTTATCAAAGGTTATCAAGATTTTTGACAAAACCAACAAAATCTTTATTTAATGCTGCGAAGCAGATTCTTCGTTATTTATCTGGCACAATTGATAAATGTTTAATTATTGGATGTCTGGAAGAAAATCTATTGGTATATACTGATTCATCATTTGGACAAGGCGAATCAAAACATTCAACCAGTGGTCTTGTTATAAGATGTGGAAATTCTACTATAGAATGGAAAAGTAACAAACAGCGAAAAATTTCTGTTTCTAGTTGTGAATCTGAAATTACTGCTATCATGGATGGATATAAATGTGTTACTTTCATTAAACAAATTTTTCAATTTCTCAAGTTTAATGTTAACATCATTTTTAAATGCGATAATCAGTCAGTGATACATTTGATTACTAATCAAAAATCCATGAAACGTTCAAGATATTTTGATATTGAAATTAAGAAGCTTATTGAAGTTTTTCAATCAAAAGATAATTTCAGAATTGAATATGTTAATACTAATCTGTGTGAATGTTCAATAAATTTATAACAAATTCAGTATTCACCAGCTAACGTTTTGTGTGTGTGTGTGTGTGTGTGTGGGAGGCTTTAGACAGAAACTAGATCAAATGAAAAGAAAAGAATAGAAAAATCCTTGTAAAGTTGTTGGTCCATTGAGAATTTTTTTTCCTCATTCTTTCTTTCTTTCTTTTCTTTGTTCATCAATAAATAAACCAAGAAATCTGGTAATTTTTGTATTCTTTTTTTTCTCACTATAAGTTATCAAAGCTAATCACACAATCAAACATATCAAGCATTAATGATGGCGATTCCTTTGGGCTTTTATCACACCATCATAATTGGCCTTTTATCTTTTTTTCGTGGAATAATTTCGTTATTTTTTTTATTTTAAATTTTTTAACGAAAAAAAATTAACAAATTTGAATTCAAATTTATTAAATATCATGTTGATTCATGATAATTTTAACAGAATTTTGGAAAATACGGCGATCATGTTGATGATCATGATAATAATGATGACGATGATTACATCCATTGTTGTTGGACATCATCATCATTATTTGGTCAAAATGTCAAAAAAATTCCATCACTCTATTCATTCATTCATTCATTGGTCGACCAATATTTTTTTAGTTATTCTTAATTTCATTTCCATTCGAAATAAATGCCGTTATAATGTTGTCTATGATAGAATGGTAAAGATAAGGCGACCCTTTTCGCAATTGATGTGAATCAAAACACAGACAGTTATAAATTACTTTTTTTTCTCGTTCATTTTTGTTTCGTCAGTCTTTTTGTGTGTGTGTGTGTGTGTGTGTGTGTGTGTGTGTGTGTGTGCGTATGAATGCTAGACAGTTCATTGCTTTTAGATTTTTAGATTCTTATTCTTCTTTGTTGGTCATTTTCTTTTTCTTTTTCTTTTTTGATCATGTCCATTTACTTTGTATTTATATGATCAAATAGTAGTAAGCTAATTTAATTTTGGTTGGCCACTGCCAAATTTTTTCTTTGGCCTCAGTATTTCTGGAACAAAAATTTCTATAAACGAGCAAGGGTGTGTATGTGTGTGTGGAAATTGTGAATGAATTGAGTGTCGGAAAACCAATTTCTATGGATCGATCGATTGATCGATTCTCATTTCATTTGCTAAGAAAAATCATCGATTACTATTGTGGTGGCCAAATCATAATCATCATTGTGACTAGGATAAAATTTATCGTAATCGGAAGTAGTAGTAGTAGTAGTAGTAGTAGTAGCAGTAACAGTAGTAATTGAAAATAAAATCAAATTGACCAAAAAGATTCAAAGAAATTGTTCATTACAAAAAAAAATTGAGAAATGAGAAAAAATGACGTTTCATTTTTTTTCAGCTCTTTCTAACCAAAGGCTATCAATTAGCTAATTATTGATAACTGGTTTTGTTTCATGAAACATACAATTCTTATTGATCTTTATATAAAAATTAGCTTCACTTTTTTTTACAAATGAAACTGGTAAATCCTTTCCAATTTTTTTAGGATAAATGATAATTCTCGGTTCACACACACACACACACACACACACACACACACACACACACACACGCCCTATGGCGTCATATCATCTAATTATTATCAATCAATAACGATATTTCATTGGAATCTTTTTTTTCAGTTTATTATGATATTATTAGTGTAGAGAATAATTCTTTCGTATTATTACTTTTGTGAGAATTTTTCATCTTTATTTTTTTTCTTGGATTTTATGTTCAATTCGAATCGATTTTTATTCTATCAAATTCATTTTTTTTATTATTACAGATTATTTCTGATCGATATATAATTTTGTAATAGATAGATAGATAGAAAACATAAAAAACAAAAACGAAATTCAAAAAAGAATATTCCCAAATGATGGCTCATATAATTTTATTTTGTTTTGTTTAAACTTTTTTTTACCGTGAAATAATAAGGAAATGAATTCTTAAAGTTTTCTTTTAGTGGTTTTTTTTCGTCTTGATAATATGTGAATGGTAAAAAGTCAATGAAGTTTTATCGGTTTTCTTTGGTGGTTTGTCTGTAACATCCCAAATATCGTTTTTTCTCAGTTTGTTAACTAGAATCGATGAGGAAAATCCTTCTAGTCAATACTTTTCTCGTGGTCTTAATAATCGTTTGAGTATTGGGTGCCAAAACAAAAACAAAAAAAAAGACATCTTATCTCAAACATTGAAATGATAGCCAAGTGTGAGGTGATTATTTTCATCATCATCATCATCGATTTCGTAATAGTCTTAGTTTTTATTTTAATAGCAAACATTCAATATTATATATTAAATCGGGTTTATTGATGCTGTCGCATTTGTTGTCAAGAATTTTGTGTGTTTGTGTATTCAAAAAAAAAAAAACGAATTTATATTGATTGCCTGGGATTAGACTTACTTGCAAACGGTTTTTTCTTTTTGTTTTTCTATTTTGGTAATCATAAATTTGTTACAAGATAAAATAGATCTTTTTTTTATAAATTCGTTGTTTATACAGGATTTTGTCAAACAAAAAAAAAAAAATAACCAAACCACAATCTGAATCCATAAAATTTAATAAAAGACTGAATCTACTTGTCGACATTTTCATTTTTTTTTACCATGATTCTGATTCAAAAAGAGGTAAAATTTTTCATTCCAAGATGAAAAAACCGGTGATAACTTGCAACGATCTCCCGTTGTGTGTTGGTTAGTTTTCTGTTATTATGATTTTTTTCTCGTTCAATCTGGATTAAGAATCGTCATTGTCATTATTTTTCTCTTGTTGTTCTGATTTTGTCCAATGCCCTCTATCTTGTTATTCATCAAAGAATTTCTCTATTTTCTGTTTTCTGGCATCACTGAATTTCATAGTTCAAGAATTCGAATATAAAAATAAATTTCAATTTGATTTACGATGATGATAATTATTGCATCATTATTTTTTTTTTGCTCCACACAAATGCCAAAGAAAAATCGATTAAAATTGCAATATTCAATGATACATTGTATCCATATAAAAATATCTTCAATACTTACACGATACATTGGCTTCAATGATCATCTTTTTTCATTTCGATTGTTGACTTTTGGTCTTTATATAAAGTATATTGAAATCAAATGATAACTTTTTTTTGTTGTCTGATTCTTATTCTTTATTTGTTATTATATAATTAATTCTACTAGAATTTTTTTTTTTGGAGGGAAATTAAAACACACAAACATTATATCGATTGGATCAAATAGAATTGAAGTGTATAAAAAAAAGAAAAAAGAAAAATCTACTTTGAATTTGATTTCGCCACTTTCATTTGTTTTGTTTACTTTTTCTCTTTTTTTTCGAGTGTGTATTATTGAATTGAAAAGTAAAGTTTGTCATGAAATTTATCATCCAGATAAATAAACATACACACACACACACACATACATACATTCACCAACATCAGATAATAGATATCTTTGAGCTGACTTTTTCTAATTCATTATATTGATTTGTGATGAATTTTTTTTTCCTGAACATATCTCTCATTTTCCCGAATCGAATGAGAAAAAAACTGATTCGCTATTTTTATATTTTGCTAATGATTAATTGTGTTTTGATTTTTTTTCTCTATTTTCTCTACTAAATTTTCAGCACAACCTTATGATCCGGGTACGAATACAATTACTCGTGTAATCAATCCAGGAGATAAGGTGGACATTCCTTGTTCAGTGGTAACGCCCGGTGGTTCAGTTAGATGGGCATTGAATAACAAACCAATCCCATTGGTAAGTTTGCTTTATATATGTGTGTGTGTGTGTGATCAATTATCGATTAAATTTCATGCACTTTTTTCTGATTAGGATTCTAATCAACGTCGCCATTGGAACATATCAAATGATGGTAAAGCTACATTGACAATAAATCGTGTTTCAAAAATGGATGCCGGTCTTTGGGAATGTTGGAAACTTGATGGTGATTTCAATATACGACAAAAAGTTCCCATTATGCGAATTGTATTGAATAGTATGTTTGCATTATTATTTTCTTAAAACACATGAAACCGATTTTAAAAAATTTTTTTTAATTAGATGTACCTGAAGAACCCTATCTAGAATATGAAGGACGGCTTTTATCGTCACATAGTACAATATCCGTACGAGCCAATAATGTAATCAAAATCAATTGTGTCATAAAAGGAATGACTTCGATGATAAAATCGGTGCAATGGTTTGTTGGCCAAAATAATTTTACACATCAAAGTCGTTTACTTATGGAATATTCGGCTGAAGAAGATGTATCATTGACTATATCTGTATTAACATTGAATGTTAGCGCTAAATTTCATCATGAACCGTTAGTTTGTCAGATATCACATCTAAGTTGGTCCAATACAGCTAATGTTACGGCTAGATTCAATGTTTTATGTAAGAAATTTATTTAAAATTTATTAGCCATTCCTTTATCTTTGTGTCTTTGCAGATCCTCCAGAGTTTTCCATTGTTCGTGAACCAGGATTTGGTTTTCCCATAATCGAAGGCATGGATCTTACGCTTCGTTGTGAAATTGATGCAAATCCTATGAGTCCAGTCAGATGGGAACGTGATTCTGATCCGAAAATTTCAAACGATTCTTTAGCACCGATTGATACCAGTCCAGATGGAACATTGATTATAAATCCAATAACCCTAAAAGACATTGGTTGGTATCGTTGTACAACTGAAAATGAATTGGGATTTTTTGCTTCGGTGGGATTCTTCATCAATGTTCGTGAATCATCCGATGAAATGACAGCATTGGTTGATCAATTACGTTCACAAAATCCACATCTTCCATCGGTACCGGAATCACAGGATGAATTTCATCATAGATCATCTAATGATTTTGCTTTCCGCAAAATACACGACCATTCAAATCGAGAATCACATTTTCAAGCTTCTCGATCGAATGGACCAGATTTCCATGGTGGTAATGGTTATAATAATCATCAGCCACAAATATCTCGACCCGAATGTTCACCAAATAGTGGATCAATCAATAATGCCGATGGTCGTCCAATAATTGAATCGATAAATTCCACAGTGATCGCATTGGTTGGATCACAGATTACATTAATTGCACGTTTTTGTTGCATTCCTCGCCCGAAAAAAGTTTATTGGATACATAGACATTTGGCTATGATGCCGTCCAGAATTATTGGACGATATACTACACGTGAATTAATCATGGTATAAGTTTATCGATCGATTTCTATAGAATAATCAAAATTTTTAATCAATTTTTTTTTTGTTCATTAGTCATCAAATTCAATGAATTGTTTTACATCAAATTTCATTATCGATGCTGTTAAACCAGAAGATGCGGGTGATGTAATGTTTATGGTACTGAATCAAAAAGGCATTGACCATGCATTAGTATCATTAAATGTAACAATGGCTAGCTATTCTATTTTATCATCATCATCGAATGGTATGTTTATCGATAATTGATTAATACTTGATTGTAATCCTTTTTGTCAATTTATTTAGGAATCATGACTACTTCGGCAGCAATATCCATTATAAATTTGACATCAATAACAATGATTCCATTGTCATTACTATGTATGATTATCATTAATGTGATATTGAATTGGAATCATTTATCGATGGATGTACAAAGATAGCGGAATAGATCCAGGGATTCATCATAATCATTGTATTCTGCTTCACTTTTTTTTTAGTCACAATCAAATCAATCGATAATACGATGACATGATATTTTAGGGCACATTAATCATATTTGTTGTTGGATTGTAAAAAAAATGATCATTACCAAGATTATTACTTTTGCTATATAGCAATTTTTCTTTCTGTTTGTTATATAATTATTTTCTGCCACCAATCAATATCGTTCATCTGTAAATAAAACAATCAATTATCATCATTATTTATATTTATCGTGATTTTCAAAATCAAATTTTACTTTGTAAATTAGCTATATAAAATAAAGTGAAAATGAAAATTAAAGTTAATTTTTTTTACATCTGAAAAATAGTAAAACTTTACACGTGTAAATTTGTGTGTTAAGCACTTGTTTATACACTGTTTGTTTATATGAGTGATTAAGAATCATTCGAAAAGATTCATAATCAATGAACTTTAGGTTTTTATGTAATTTGCTCACATTTTGGCCTGATTTTGAATATATAAAAACCAACAGGACATTATGGATGTTACCATTCATCTAGATTTATTGTACAAATAAAGCCGCATCATCATTCTTTCATCAACATGCCTTTTGACATGGAAAAATTTATGAAAATGATTAATACGATGAACGAATTTTTGGTCGAATATGATCGTAAATTGACCCATCTTGAATTTCTTAGAATGAAAACACGATTCCTTGAAGAAGAAATGGCCAAAAAACAGAATAATGTTCATAACATTCAAACTCCATCAACATTATCGTCAAGAACAACAAATAAAAAGAAAAAAAACTCGAAAAGGTATTCAAACTTATTCATTCGTTATTGAAACAAATAATAATACTAATATAATAGGAATGAATCAACTAATTCTAATTTATCATTATCAGATACCAGAAAAAAACCTGATTCATCTTCGACACAATTACCACGAGTGATTATGACAAGATCGAGGACTCGAATGCAACAACAGCAGCAACAAAAATGATTTTAATTTCAATATATTCATTGTTTACAACATTGTTATTCATAATCTTATTGTACGTTATTGCTTTAATGTTATTGACTAAACTAATAAATATATCTCGACTTTTGGTATCATCATTATAATCATCATCATCGGAAAATTAAATGGGTGATTTCAATTCTTAATGAAAATCAATTGAAATTTTTTTTTTATATTAAATTTTTATATTGTTTTTATATAGTTGAATATAAGAGAAAAATGACAAAAACAATCTAATCGAATTGAAATATTGAATGCAATAATCTGAAAAAAACAATTGCCAATAAAGATAATATTGAAAAGCGATAATCCTTAAGATGCATAATCATCTTTATCACCTGTAGCTAGGATTCATAATCTCTTATTATGTTTTTCTATACTATATCTGATCGATCGACTTATAAATTGATCAACATTTTTGGCTTTGATTGATTGATTTCGTTTCATTTGATTTTTTTTTAATAATCACATGAGATTGATTTTAAAATGAAATTTTCCATTTGTTTTTTGTCATTTTTGTTTTTATTGTTGATTTTTGGAACTGTTTCGGCACAGTCCCGTGGTAAGTTTTTTTTATAAAAAAATGAATGATTTAAAATTTTCATTTGTTTTTTTTTCTTCCTGTAGATCGAAACGATAAACCTTATCGTATTGTTTGTTATTGGGGTACATGGGCATTTTATCGGCCAGCATCGGGAAAATTTCAGGCCGAAAATGTCAATCCAAATCTTTGTACACACATAATGTATGGTTTCGCTAAACTACAAAATAACAAGATTGCTTTGTATGATCCTGATTTGGATGATGGTGATGAAGATTGGAATTCTGGCCTACAATGGGGTCATGGAATGATAAGACGAATGGTGAATCTTCGTACATATAATCCACATCTAACCACTATGATATCATTGGGTGGTTGGAATGAAGGTTCGGATAAATATTCGATTATGGTCCGTGATCCAGCCAGTCGAAAAATTTTCATTCAATCTGTCCTACATCTTTTGGCTGAATTTGATTTAGATGGTTTAGATTTTGATTGGTATGATAATGATTTTTTTTCATTTTAAATTATATAATGATTTAATTTTCTTAGGGAATATCCAGCAATGCAAGCTTCTGGTGATAGTGATCGAAAACCGGGACGAGCAGAAGACAAGGAAGATTTTGTAACTTTATTACGTGAATTACATGAAGCATTCCAGCCACATGGCTATGTATTGTCTTCAGCCGTATCTGCCGGTAAACCAACAATTGATCGTGCATATAATATTCCTGAAGTGAGCAAATATTTGGATTTCATCAATTTGATGTCATATGATTATCATGGTGGATGGGAAAGTCATACCGGACATAATGCCCCATTGAATTCATATAAAAATGCCAATGAATTAGATAAAGAATTTACTGTCACTTACTCAGTTGAATATTGGCTCAATCATGGTGTTGATCCAAAGAAATTGGTATGCTTATTTCCAATTCCTTAAAAATATTATCATCTAATTTTTTTATTTTCGATAATTAGGTCTTGGGAATTCCATTGTATGGTCGTACATTTACATTGGCCGGTTCCGAACATGGAATTGGTGCACCAACCATCGGTAAAGGTGGTGAATCCGGAACTATCACACGTACGATCGGTATGTTAGGCTATAATGAAATCTGTACAATGATCAAACAAGGATGGCAATTATATCGTGATGAAATTGAACGTATTCCTTATGCTGTACATGCTAATCAATGGATTGGTTATGATGATCGAGAAAGTGTAAATGAAAAATTGAATTTATTGATGGCAAAACATCTTGGCGGAGCTATGGTATGGTCAATCGATACGGATGATTTTGTAGGCAATTGTGTGGGTGTCAAATATCCTTTGTTACGATCAATATCAAAAAAATTAAATAACGTTGATGGTCCAGATCCGGATATTAAACGATATCATTATCATACATCGACAGCTAAACCACATACAGATGGTACTACCTCAACTCATCATGATCATAAAACAACGACTACGAAACATCATAAAACTACCCAGCCACATCATAAGACTACCCAGCCGCATCATAAGACTACCCAGCCGCATCATACTCAAACAATAACAACGACAACAGAAAGACCCCATGGTAAATTTCAATGCCATCAAGCTGGATTTTTTGCCGATCCCGAGAATCCAAGAAAATTTCATCAATGTGTAGATTTTGGTGGCCATCTTAAAGATTATGAATTTATGTGTGGTGAGGGAACACACTATGATGAAAAATTACATATATGCGTCCGTTGATAAATTTGATCCTTTATATGTTTTGACACTTGAATTAATCAATAAATTTTATTATAAATCAAATTTTTGTTTTTGAAATTATATATTTTGTATATCAAATATGATATTTCAACCAAGAGACGATGGCAAATTAGCATGTGAAACCAGATTACAAAAACCACCAGTTCCAAGACTATGGTCGCAGAAAAGATCTGTATTACAACAGGTAACGCCGCGAACTCCGCCACATACTTCACCAGTTCCTGCACATACTGTTTTAAGAAAAATAAAAATTAAAATCAAAATTCTAGAATATGAAAATTTTGTATTTTCTTACTGCCTTGATTGATAGTAAAACAAGATATTGAAATAATAAAAAAGATGAATATGACAATGGTCAAAGGCAGAATATGATCACGTAATAAAGTCATGGTTTTTTAATTCAATTTTAATTCGGTTGTTCTTGATCGATAGTTGTTCTGGTATGATCGTTTTGCAAATAAAGTGTTGAACAAAATATCGAAAGTATAAATAAATAAATGCTGAAATTTTGATTTGAATGTCAAGTAAATCAAGATTTAAAGAAGAAAAAAAGTATTGCAATCAGCACTTTAATATAATGCGAATTGATAAGTGAAAAAAATGACTCAACAAACATGACAGTCAAAACGAATTGTACATTCATTGATAATCAATTGATTTGAGTGATTTATTGATTGATTACTGTATAGATTTGTACAAAAACAAATCAAATTGCTGAAAACAAAATATTTTTATTGATAAATCGATCAATGGGGCAAGGTCGATTAACATCCACCCTCAAAAAAATTGTAAAGGTAATTCAAATTTTTTTTTAATTTTAGTTTATTGCTCAATCTGGATTTTTTTCCACATATACCAAGGTATACAAAGTTAATGAAATGACAGTAATTATTTTCAAGAATATGAAATGGATTTCTGATGCCAATTGATTAGCCGCGAAATCGGCCACCACCACCTCCTCGGCCACCACCTCCGCGGCCACTGCTTCGTCCTCCCCGGAATCCACCACCGCCACCGCCACCACCACGACCAAAGCTTCGGCCACCACCTCCACCACGACGACCACCACCACCACCACCACGTTGAGCGATTGTAAATGGTGCGATCAAAGCCAAAATGACGATTAACATCAATGAAATTGATAAGATTTTCATTTTTGAAGTTTTATTTTCGAAGATTTGATTTGTTGATTTAAAGCTGAATTCTTTGTTTGTTATTGGAATGATTTTTTGATCGAAAAAACCAGCTTCTTTTATACGAAAAAAATATCTTAACGAATTCGATTCGTCTCACCAGAAATATGAAGAAAAGAAAAGAAAACAAAAAAAAAGAGAAGAAAGGTACTATGATCATCAATGAAACGAATCACTGATTATCCATCAGGCTGGACTTTAATTGTGATTTTCGATAAAAAAAAGATGGAATTATCTTAGTAACTGCTCACGCGACAACAATGTTATTATTATTGTTTTTGTTTTTCCAAGGGTTTTTTCAGATTGAAAATTTTGGCAATTGGATGTCGAAAAATGTGCAATAATAATAATGATGACGATTGAAAAAAAAATAAAACAAAAACAAAGCATTATCGCATGGAACACGATAATCGATTAAAAATGGTAATTTTGCCAATGAACATGAAGATCGAAATGTCCTTCGGTTGCCTGAAAGACAAAAATGGCCATCATGGATGTCGATTTTTTTTTGATCAATTCAATTTCAAAAATTTCCCACATTTTTTCAATGATTTATTGTGCATATGTGTTGGACCTAAAACTATGCACAAAACTGGTTTCCAAAATTTTTAATCTGGATGATATCTTGATAAAATTTTTTAATTTTTTCAAAAAATTTTATTTTTAAAAATTAATTTTGAAATTTCAACGTTTAGTTGACCACAATTGTGAAAAAATGAGAAGAAATTCGTTCCGCCTGAAATGATGGCCATGATCATGATAATGGTTTTGGTGACAAATGATATATGTGATTGTCATCCATTTATCTATCCATCAATTTATTCAACTTTCATCGATAATTAGTGGTCATAAAGACATTTCAAAAATGAAAAAAAAATCATTTTATAAATTATAAATTCAAAGTGTTCTTGTTTGATTCATTGATCGATGATATGTATCACCATATATGATCAATGACACATATATATACAATACACACAATTAAGTACACCATCACCGGAGGCAGTTAAATAAATTTTCCAATTTTTAATTAGCTTTCCATCATTAAATAGATTTGTTTGCAAAAATTTTCAATTTATATTGGTCATTTTTATTGAAATAAAAAATTTTTTGGCTTTTGTTTTTAATTTCTTTTTTTTTTTTTGTTCGGATGATTTGTTGATAGTAATGCAGAGGTTCAGAGTTTTTTTTTATCAAGATTTTCTTCCTGGTATGACCTTCAAATGTCTGATATATAATTATTGTTTGTCATTCATTTGTGGTTAATTATAACCAAAATTTGAACCATTTGATCAAATAAAAGTTTTGGTAAAGTTTATATTGTTTTTTTTGAAAATCATTAATCTCAGGTCATAATAGGTCTGGTTTCGATTGGTTGGTTAGTTTGTTAATTGACTTATTGATTGATCAATCGAATTGATGATTCATTGAACTCAATAATGATGATTAATGAAAATGATTGAATGATTTTGAAATTTAAAATTTATTTTAAAGCGCAATTTTAACCATGACCATTACGGTGGCGAAGATTGGATATTTTGATGAAAGTTTGAGGTTTTGTACCTATAGATAATTTCGAATAATTAAAATTAATTCATGTCATTGACAAAATAATATTATTATCGATCCTTCCGAGATGGCAGCACATGTATCATTAATTTTGATTGAGATTTGATTCAATTAATAATAAAAAATACGAATCAGGGATAGTGATTGAAATTAATATTTTTGGTGAAAAAATCATAAAAAATATGAAAAATTTTTAACTATGCCACGCCATGCCAATCATGAGAATGATAAAATCGTTGTCGATCAATACACAATACAATTGAATTAATGATTGACAATCCCATATAACCTACCTACAAAGTAAACATCCTTGTCTTACATGAATTTCATTGGAAAAAAAAAAAAAATTCCGGAAAAAATAACGAATTCGACCGCACACAGATCGATCGATCGATCAATCGATCATTATGAAAAACAAGCCTGCAAACATTACGTGAACAAACAATGGGAAAAAAGAGTTGAATATTGACAGGTAAATTTGCTTCGTTTTGATTTCAAGTATTCAACTTATTGAATAATTTTGGAGGAGCCCAATTATAACAACAACAAAAAAAAACGAAGATAAACACGCGACTATCGCCATATGTAAATAAAATCTATGTCAAGCTGTGTGAGTGTGTGTGTGTGTGTGTGTGTGTGTGTGTGTGTGTGTGTGTGTGTGTGTGTGTGTGTGTGTGTGTGTGTGTGTGTGTGTGTGTGTGTGTGTGTGTGTGTGTGTGTGTGTGTGTGTGTTGAAAACCCGAATTTAGAAGGTCAAACTTATTTTTCTGGCAATTTGTAGCCCAAATTCATTCTTTTTTCACTGATTTTTCTTTCTCGTTCTATCATTCAATTCCACCCATTTTCATTTCTTTTTTTTGACAGCGTATTAAAGTGTCAGACAAGTAGTTTTGTAGTTTGTTTGATGATAAGAAAATTTATGGATCCTTTGTTGTTTTTTAAAAAAAAATTCGATTTTGCTTTTTTTTGTAGCTTCCACACCACCCCAACACACAGGTGAAAATACATTGGATTCATGTATGGACACGCGTTTTCTTAGATATAAAATGATTTTAAAATCGTTTGATTTGTTATTGTCATGGTAGCCTTTTCAATTGAGAATAAAATTCTCTAAAATTTATGGTGATACAAATTTTTTTTTGTTTTGATTGCATAAATAAATAAGGTGATCAAACAAAATTGGATCGATAAATAGACAGATGGCCACAATCGAATGGTGTTGATTGTTGAATAATATTTGTATAAGTGATCCATTATCAAACTATAGGAACAAATGAAAAAAAAATCTAAATTATAGGCAGCAATCAAAAAATGATATAATAACGTGCTCTATTCGAGATAAATCATTGATTCATTTAATTGATTTGTTTGATGTTTGATCATAAAATGAAAATTATGAAAACAACAACAACTAAAAAGAATACTATTCATCGTCTTTTAAACGATTAACAAGAAAATTCACATATGAAAATGTATTATGGTGGTCATTTCGTATATTAATTTATCTGTTTTTAGCATTTATAGCCACTATTTCCATTTATAAATCACAGGAGCAATATAAAATCAAAATAGCCGATTATAAAAGAGAATTAAAAGATCAAGTTTATTTTCCAGGCATCACAATTTGTGCACCAACTATTATAACACCTAAATTATTGTCAAGTAAGCATTTTTTTTTATTCATATGATATGATGAAGTATAAGAATTTAAATTCGACAATTTTTAATTTTAGAATTTTATCCAAAATTTGCTACATTCATGAACGAAAATGTCAACAAACAATCGGAATCTGTCTATAAAACATTCAAATATTATGAATCAAAAATGTTGAGTAATTATAGCATAAAAGAAATAATTTATTACTATAGTGCAAGAATGCGAAATGTGATACGTTCATGTCGTTATAATCCACTAAGATATCGATATATGAATAAATTTAATGAATATATACCAGAATTGAATTGTGACTCATTATCAGCTGTTCTAAGCAGTATATTTGCTGGTAAAAATGTTGGACATTTTTCAGTAAAATGGTGATTAAAATTGATGATTGGAAAAATCAATTACCAAATGATACCTATGATTACATGAAAAAACATGGTTCGAATACATTTCTTAGTTATGAAGAGTATATGGTGAATATAATTTGATTATATTTAAAATTGTTATTCAAATCTAATCATCAATATATAATTTATTACAGAATTTATATGGAAAACTTGTCTTACAAATGTCACCCGATTATAATCCAGCCATCAATATTGATTTGGATCTTGGTGATGATCAATGGAAAAATTTGGCAGATCCAAATGAGATTGGCGTTGCTAGTTAGTACTTTAATTGTTGTATTTTTCACATTAATTAATCAGGTTAATTTAACTATGAAATAATTGTTTTTGTTTTGTTTTTTTTCTTTATCAAAAAAAAAAATCAGTACATCCACCTGAAATTTTACCTGAAATGAAAAATTTTGTTTATTTCAAACTGAAACGTAACTATATGCTTGAAGTTTCATTTACAAAGAAAATATTCAATGAAACCGGTTATAATTTGAATTGTCGTAATTATAATGATGAAGATATCTTATACAAGTTATTTGGAACACACGATGGTTGTATTAATTCTTGTATCAATCAAAATTTTTTTCAGGATAATTTTTGCTATTCCTATTTTCATATGATTACAATAACCAGAATGGTTGATGAGGAAATGAAATTTCGAATTTGTCCACATGAAAAACAGGTATTTGATGAATTTATTTGTATTTAATGATAATCAATGAATTTTAAATCAATTAATTCTTTTTTACCCTAAGGATTATTTACGATTTCTTCGACATCGAAATCATTGTCTTTCTCATTCATCCTGTAGAAAAGAATGTGTCAATAATGAATTGGATATTGATTTTCATTTAACCAGAATTCAACCCCCTAACGGAACGAATTCTTTTGCTCGAATTCATATACGTCTGTCAACTATTCCATATAAAATTTATAGTTATCGAAATTTAATGACAAATAATGAAGTATTTGGTATAAATGGTGGCCATATGGGATTATGGCTTGGTTTATCCGTTATCGTTTCATACAATGTTATTGCCGATTATATAATTCCATTTCTGAAGCTTTTATTTTGTATAATCTGTAAAAATGTAGATTGATTTGTTTACATTTTTCATATAGTTGCATTAGACATTCTCGATCATATAATTGTAATTGACTTTCGGTTTTTTTTATCAAATAAAATAAAATTATATTCCATAAATTGATAATATGAACATATGCTAAAATCAATTGTTAATGATTGTTTTTCCTTGACATTCATTTTGCAAATATAATCGATTGATTAAAACAATGTATAATGTCATTTGCGAAAATCATTCAATGAATCTCATATACAATGAAAAAATTGAAATTGAAATTTAAATTTAAATCTGATCTGATCAGTTTTTTTTGGTTTTTAATTCGTGTTCCGATTTATGGTGTTTTATTCTATTTTACTTGGAAATGTTTATTATTAGTTCTTTTGAAATCTATTTTTTTCATTGTTCATATGAACCATACTGATGCGATTGAAGCAGATTTTCCAGCAATAACAATCTGTGCACCATCCATACTGAGTCCGAAAAATATGTCTGGTATGTTATTTCAATTGATTTGAATTTTTTTTTTCATAACGGTTTGTCTATCACTATAGGTTATGATCCGAATTTTGCAAATTTTCTCATGAAATATGAAAAAGGAGAATTCAAAAATTGTCCGAAAAAGAGTTGAGAGCCAAATTTCAAGGTTTTGAATCTAACTTGCTGAAAAAAATGAAGGCTGTAGATTTAGTTGAATATTTCTCGGCTAATATTTCATCAGTTATACGATCCTGTAAATATAGGCCAATGAATTATCGGATAATGGATGATGAATCTAAACATCATTTTCGAGCAATTGATTGTTCATCAATCAAGACTGTTGTTAATAGCATTTTTTTCGGAAGAAAATGTTTTACTTTTTTCTCCAATTTAGTCGATATGTCAGATGATTGGCGACACAATATACCGAATGTATCTTGTTCATCATTTAAATGTTCACATACGGGTCTCGATAAAGATATCGTTTATTTTAGTGATTGGGAGAATTTGTATCGAATGTATAAGCGAATATATTCACGAATGATAGCTGAACTTAATCCTGAAATTAATATTGAAATCGAAGCTACGGATGATGATTGGAAATTTATGAATGTAGATGGTTTGTTTACGGTTGCAAGTATGTATTTTTTTCAAGTTATTTTTGACACAATTTTTTTAATTATATTTATTGACATTAATATTTTTGAATTGTAATAGTTCATAAATCTAATGTATTACCATCAATAGAAGATTTCGTACAATATTCTATCGTAAATAATCACCGATTGGATATAGGTTTCACAATGACTAATTTGAATATAGTCAATAAAAACACAAACAGCTGTTTAAATTATAATGATGGATCTTTGTTTACAAGCTATCGAAATAGAGATGAATGTATTAGAATCTGTATTCTTGGACAATTTTTTATTGCAAATTTTACCTGTCACTATTATTTTCCACCCGTTATTCTTGAACATTTATATGGTGGACAAAAACAATTGACAGTCTGTCCACATGATCAACAAAATTATCTACGATATTTACAAACAAGACAACTATGTCAATTTCGTTGTGATGAAGAATGTCAACAGGAAAAGCTTGAAACATATTCATTATCAACAAAATTTTCAGGAAAATTAACTGGAAAAACCTATGCACAGATTCGAGTACATTTTACCACTTATCCAATAAAATCAATTCGATATCGAAAAATCATTAATGACAATGAATTCATGGCCATGATTGGTGGTCATCTTGGACTTTGGCTTGGATTATCTGTAATGACATTTATCAAGATATACTTAAAATTTTGTGTTTTCTTGCTTCGTAGTTGTATTAAAATGCTTCACCTTCATCGTATTGCAAAATATTTACTTAAGCATTTTGATTAACAAATTGAAATGAATAAAATTGGATTTTAATCTAGATGAAAAGAAATGAAAGTAGATTTGTTCATTTTAATCTGTTTTGATGTAATCATCATCATTACCATGACGATGATTGAATGAAAAATAAAACAATCATTAAGAGCATTGCAATTGTTCAATTATTCTGTTCAATAATAAAAATCATTGTCATAGGTAATTAAACAATGGATAAACAAAAAGAAAAAATTCCTCAACAATCATTATCATCATCATCATCATTGAAATTGTCGTGATGGTGATGATAATGAAAATTCCAATCTACCATTCCAAGTGATATATTGTGTTGTGTTCATAGTAATAATGAAAAAAACAAAACATCATGAGAAAAAATGCAACGAATTTCTTATTTGTTTCATACATTTTGTTTTGTCATTGTTTTTTTTTGTCTTTCCATATAATGAATAAGTTTTAGTATTGCCTGAATTAATTGTAATCAAATGGATGATGATGATGATTGTACGATCGTCATCAGCAGCCAATAATAATAATAATGATGATGATGATGATTATCGAAGAAATGTCGATTATTACTTTGATTTCATTCGAAATCAACATCAATTATAATGAAAGAATGAGAACATTTATTTAAAAAAAAAATCTTGAGTAATTTCATACATTTTTGCAAAAGAAAAAAATGACTGATGATTAATGAATGTATGAAAAGAATGAGCAATTGAAAGAAAGTTCAAAGTTCAAATCTATTTCCTATAAATAAAATTGTGTGTGTGTGTGTGTGTGTGGTTGATATGAACAAAATAGAAGAAAAAAAATTTCTAGGGCATCAATTTGCGAAATCGATAAAGATTTCATTTCATTTCATTTTTGATTTGATGGTTATATTTTGATTTTTGTTGCTGTTATTGTTTCTGGTGGATAAATCAATTTGTAATTATTGGAGCAAAAGCGATCACACACACACACGCACACACAGGTAGTTGTGATGCAAAAATATTTTTTTTTCATAAATTTCACCTTGATCTTTTGACCTTTATGTAGGTATGCGTGTTGTGTTTGTGTGGGTATTCGCAAAGTTTTAGTTTTTTTTCTCTTTTGATCAGGTAGGTTCCAATTGATTGATTTTAATTGATAATCATCGTCATCATATTCAATGAACCGAACCGAGACCAAAATCGAATGATTATCATTTTTCATCATCATCGACAAGTGAAAGTGGTGGTTCCATAGGTCATAGACATGCACATAGATATATATGGGAATTAGTCACGAAAACAATTCATGATTTGTGAATCGAATTGATTATAAATTCTTTTGATCATTTCGAATTGTGATCAATTCAAGAAAAAAATTTTTTTTTTTTTTTGGCCAGGAAATTAATTCTATTCCATTCAATCGTGCGTGTGTGGTGTTCTAGTTTAAAAAAAAAAAAAATTTTTTCTCATTGTCTAGCCACTGATCGGATATAATAAATTTAACCTGATGATGGGAGGAGTTGATGGATCAAATTCAATGATGGTGGTCCCAATTGGGACCATGTTTGTAAAACACAAATATACATGAAATACATTCATACTAGTAGTAGGCGTATATACACCACAAACGGGTGTGTAACATAAACAGAATCAGAAAATAAAAATAATAATAATAATAACGAATCGACAAAAAAAAAGACAAAAACCACAAATAAGGTCCTGGAACCAGTCAGTGAATGGAACGATGAATTTTTTTTATCCTACTATGAAATTATGATGTCAATTAGAACCGGTTATTATCATGTCTACCATACATACAAATGTCAACGGATCACAAACATATGATTCCTTTATTATGGACTTTGTTTTCTGTGAGTGTGTGTGTGTGTGATGATGGTCAATAATCATTATATACGATGATGATGATGATGATGGTGGAGTGTATAACATTATACAATTTCAATTCATATTTTTCAAGTATAGTATGGTTTTTTTCTGTGTGTGTGTGTGTGTGTGTGTGTTATGTATTTGTATTGTATAATTGTAATTGTAAATGATAAAATCATAATGATCACTATGTTTTTGTTGTTGATGACTTAATTTACTAATATTTCAATATATATTTTTTTTTCAATGGATTCGAAAAATTCATCTTTCATGTTTTTTTTCATATTTCATCGATTATTATATATCGAAGGATTTTTTATTAGAAAATATTCTAGCTTACAATTTGTTGTTTGTATGCATGAATTAAAAACATCATCATTCAATTTAGGCGATGAAAACAATAGAAATATTGTATTCTATTCTAGTTTATTGGGTGAGTCTTTTGTCTGTTTTAACAAATAAAAGCCCTTGTAGACGTAGAAATAAATTCCGGGTCCCTATTTTTCAAAAATACGATGTTAATTCAGTCCAAAATTAACAGAAAAAAAACAGAAGAAAAAAGAACTGCAGACCGGTCCTGTAGAAATGCTGCATAGAAGAAGACGAGAAAAAAAACACCCGTAAAATAATAATCGCCAAATTCACAAAAGATGGAGAAAAATTCTTGGATGATAAAAACAATTTAGGAAGATAATTGCTAGGTCATAATCATTATCATCATCATTATCATTAAGGTGGTAGTGGTGGTAATGGTGGTGGTGGTGGTATAGTAAATTAGTTGTTATTATTTTAAACAAAAAAAAATTCAAAAAAACTTTTAATGATCAAAAACCAAACTTGCGAAAACAACCAAAATAGCTGGCAAGATCTAACGATCGACCAACCAAACAACCAACCAACCGAAATTGCCTAGGTCTATTGCTGTGATGTTTATCGCAGTCATCATCATCATCATCATCATAGCAATTCATGTGTTTATCATGATCATGATGACCGATCGATGATAGCTTATAGCCAAAGTAAAAAAAGGGCCGGTTTTTATTCTCGTTCATTGTTACAATTATTGTCCATTATACATGCATTTTTTGTTGTTGTTGTTTTTGGTTTGTACGAGAAAAAAAATATTTAATAATCTATCTACATGGCAATAATTTAACCCTCAGAATGTGAATGAATATCCAAAGTAAAAAAGGGCCGGTTTTATTCTCGTTCATTGTTACAATTATTGTCCATTATACATGAATGTGAATGGCAATAATTTAACCTCTCAGGATGTCCACTTACTACGGGGTATTTACTATTTTTGACTGACCATTTTTTCTGTGACCATTATTTCGTTGTTGTTGATGTCTTGTCAAAAATGTAGTCTAGTTAGTATATTGACGGTCAGTGACTGAATTTTATTTTATTTATATTCATGCACACACAGTTATAAATTGTATTTTTTGTCCATCCCGTTTTTTTTCTTGTTTCTTGTTTCTGGGGACCTCCCGTGATGATTATTTTTTGTTGTTGTTGTTGTTGTTGTTTTGTTTCATCTTTTTTTTCTCATTCACTCGTGATCATCATGATTTTTTGTTACAATTTTTCTTTTTTTTTCTGTGTTCACGACCATCATTATTGTTAACATCAAAGCAGCTTCCTTGTTTTTGTTTTGTTACCATCGAAATTTACTCAAAGTAGAAATGTTTGACGTTTTTTTTTACCGTTGTCTCCATTTCTATAATTCCATTTGTGAGGCTAATTTTATTTTGTTTACCTTTGATTCACATTCAGAGTTATCTGCATCGGTAATAACATCTGGTTTTTTTTCTGGTTCCTTTCTTGAATACTAATATAATCTTGGCATATACATTGGGCTTCAATTTTATCGTCACAAAATTAATTATTAATATGTTAATTAAATTTTCAATTTACTTATCGATTTGTTCCATTGTTTTTTTTTGTTTTGTTTTTGTTTCTATATGTTTTTTTCCTGCTCATTTATTCTTTATGTTAAGAATTTGACATTGGAATAGTAACAAAGAAAAAAAAATGAGAATGTTAATGATGTTGATAATGATGATGATGATGATGATGATGATGTAATAGATGTTTGGAATTTCAGAACATAAATGAATTCTTATTATAGTTATACTATTCTATTCTTCCTGGTTTCTGTGATCTAAATCCCTAAATGAATCCTGTCGGAATTTTTCTTTACATCCAACATTCTTTTTTTTTTTTATTCTTATAGAGCTTCTCAAATGTTTATTAATATTACTCAATTTTTTTTTGCTTGCTTTCTCTTTTTTTTCCATTATTTTACAAGTTGATAAAGTATGCGGATGCGAAATATAAAAAGAATGCCATTTTTGTTACCATCTAAAACATAAATAGAAAAAAAAAAAGAAAAGACAACATACTCGATATATATCTATTTCGATACATAAATATCTATTAACATTCGGTATCTTATAACTTAATCCTTGAAGATTCTTTTTTTTCTCATTTCCGACCGAATGAAAATTCAATGAAAACATACTTGAAACAAAAAAAAAACATTTCTTATATTAATAATCATTGTAAATATTTCTGTATTTGATTCTAAGAAACATTCTACATAAATACTTGATCCAAGAAAAAAAAGTGGGATAAAAATTATGGCATTAACACTTGTCTTTCGACGTTGTTGTTGTTGTTGTTTAGTTTCTCACAATTTTCTTAGAAATGAATCCAGACAATGTTATCATCATCATCATCTTCAATGAAATTGAACGAATGTGAAAGAGAATTAAAAAAAATGATCCATAAGAATCCTGTGTTTGTGTTTGTGTGTGTGTGTCTATTGTATTAAGATTTTCTACAATAAATGATTCAAATAATTTTAATCCACCAAAAGTATACAATTTTTTAATGTTGTCATTGTTGGATTTAGATGGTAAGAATTTTTTTTTCAATACTTTGTTTTCAGTATTAACTCCGGGCGCCCACACATACACAAAGATATTATCAGAAATCAGAATTGTACATCATTACTTCCGTTTCAACAATGAAATATGAAACCATACACTTGAGAAATTTTAATGATAAATTCATGTTAGAGAATAATTAATTTTTCAAGAAACGAAAAATAAAGCAAATAATCTGAACAATATGATATATGATATAAATCCTTTTCAGACATTCAATTGAATATTGTTA